GAGGGAGAAGGGGACTGAGAGGTATTATGTTTAGGGCACATGGTGTGGGGGATCATGGGGAGAACAGTGTATCACAGAGAAGGGACATAGTGGATCTTTGGCAACTTGCTGCACTGATGGACAGTGACTGAATTGGGGTATGGGTGGGGACTGATAATATGGGTAAATGTAGTAACCACATTGTTTTTTCATGTGAAACCTTCATAAGAGTGTTCATCAATCATACCTTAATAAAAAAAAAAAAAAAGCAAGTGTTGGCAAGAGTGTGAACCCTTGTGCACTGTTGATGAGCATGTAAATGGTACAGCCACTGTGGAAAACAGTATGGTGGCTCCTCAAAACATTAGAAATAGAGTATGATCCAGCAATTCCACTTCTGGGTATATACCCAAAAGAAATGTAATCAGGAACTTGGAAGTAGTATTTGTACACCCATGTTCATAGCATCATTATTTAATTAGCTGAAATGTGGACGCAACCCAGATGTCTACTGATGGATAAGCAGATGAACAAACTGTGGAGTATTATTCAGCTATAAAAAGGAATAAAGTTATGATATATGTATACCATGGAAGATTCTTGAGGACATTATGACAACTACTGTATGATTCCACCTTTATGAGGTACTTAGAGTAGTGAATAGTAAGTATAATGGTGGTTGCCAGGGGCTGGGGAGAGGGGAGAATGAGGAGTTACTGTTTAATGGGTGTAGAGTTTCAGTTTTACAAGATAGAGTTATAGGGATGGATGGTGTGGTGGTTGCACAACAATGTGAATGTACTTAATACTACTGAACTGTACACTTAAAAAATGGTTAAGATGGTAATGTTATGCATACTTTACCACAATAAAAAAATTTTTTAAAAAGCATCAAAGGTGAAAAATGAATTAGGTATGAGCCTTTCAAAATAACTATAGTGATAAACATCATTAATTTTAAAAGACAAGCAATAGTATGAAAGAAAATATTGCCCCTCAGAGAAACTAGAGGATTTTTTTCTTAAGATTCTGAATCCAGAGAAATGATACTGACTTTTCAAGGTCTTCCTATAAGGAAAGGGCCAGTTTGTCACCCAGGCACCTAGAACAGGATGTCCTTAAACTTAGATAGGCAACAAACCACTTGAGTTTAATGTTAGGAGCACCTGTCACTTTGTCACTGATGAAAATCACAGAAAATTTCATACCAATGTTATAGTTGTCACAGTTATCTTCAAATAATGTTTACTGTCATCAGTACTTCAGTCATATTAGACTGTTAGACTGTGTTAATACCTTAACAGATAAGTACATGTATCACTGTACCATATCACAAAATTTATTTAGTGCTTTGATAATTATATTAATGTTAAGTTTTCTTTGTTATCTTCACACAGTTGTTGTTTTTTTCCTGAGAGACTTAGAGTCTTTATTTCACCCAAATACAGAGGATTCAGGGCAGTGGTTTCTCTACTGGGTACAGAGAGCAGAGCTGCAAACTGCCACCATGTCTCTGTGCCCCTCTGCTGAGCGTGTACTTGGTAACCTGGCCGTCTATCATTGCGCAGTCCGAGGTGATCACCAAGTCCTCTTTATATAAACATGAAATATGAGGAGAAGCATAATTCAGGTTTGTTCTGACACTGGCTTTACAGAAATGTGAGAACCAAGTAAGGTGATGTTTGTATGATTTTTTACTTTGTTATTTAAAGTAATTTTCTGAGGTGTCCATAGAAGTCTACTTTTCAACAAGTCCAGCCCACATTGAGCTGCCAGATAGTTTCTCAGTACCTCAATCTTTTGTCCTAATTTTTATTTTTATTAAGTTAATATATGTTCATAACTTAAAAAATAAGTGAAAGCACAATGATGAAAGAAAAATAGATACACTGGACTTCATCAAGATTAAAACTCTTGTGCATCAAAGGATACTACCAAGAAAGTGAAAAGACAACCCATGGAATGGGAGAAAATATTTGCTAATCATGTATCTGATAAGGGGCTATTAACTAGAATATATAAGAACTCTTACAATTCAACAACAAAAAGACAAACAACCCAATTAAAAAATGGGCAAAGGAACTGAATAGGTATTTTTCCCAAGAAGATACCCAAATGACCAGTAAGAACATGAAGAAATGCTCATCATCAGTTATTAGGGAAATGCAAATCAGAAGAACAATGAGATGCTACTAGGGTAGCTATAATTTTTTTAAGAAGATGGAAAATAACAAGTGTTACTGAGAAGAGAAACTGGAACCCTTGTGCTTTGCTGGTGGGAATGTAAAATGGTGCAGCCATTTTGGAAGACAGTTAGATGGTTCTTCAAAAAGCTAAACATAGAATTACCATATAACCCAGCAACTCCACTCGTAGGTATATATCCAAAAGAAATAAACATGCATCCATACAAAAACTTGTACATAGATGTTCACTGCATTATTCATGCTAGCCAGAAAGTACAAATAAGCCAAATGTCCATCAACAGTTAAATGTATAAATAAAATGTAGTATATCCATAAAGTGGAATATTATTCAGAAATAAGGAGTGAAGTACTGAAACATGCCACAATACGGATGAAAACTCAAAATGCAAAGCCAAAGAAGCCAGACACACAAGACCACATATTGTATGATTCTGTTTATATGAGAGTCCAAAATAGGCAAATTAACAAGAGGCAGAATTAGTGGTTGCCAGAACATGGGGAGGCAGGAATGAGTAGTGACTGCTCACAGTTATGGGGTTTCCTTTTGGAGTAATGGAAATGTTCTAAAATTAGAGAGTAATGATGCTTGCACAACACTGTGAGTGCATTAACTGCCACTCAATTGTACACTTTAAAAGGGCAAATTTTATGGCATGTGAATTACATCTCAATATAGCATGAAAAAAAGAGAAAGTTTCCAGAAAGACACAACAAAAAGATAGATATGAGGAAGAAAAGATCAGAGACTGAGGATCAATCAATCACATTTGGCAGGAATTTTAGAGAAAGAAAACACAACAAATGTAAGTAAGGAAATTATTTTTAAAAATTAATGTAAGACTGTTTCTCAGAAACAAAAGACCTGAGTCTCACCATAGAAATGGTCTATGAGCTACTGGCATAGAAAATGAGCAAAGACCCATTCCACAGCACATCACTGAGGAATTTCACAGGAGAGTTTAGTAAAGCAATGGTTCTACCAACTTCCAGAGATAAAAACAATACAAAAGACTGATAATTGAACTTTTCAGCACAAGTAATGAAAGCACAACACATATAGCTGTTAAAATTCTGAGGGAAAATTATTTTCAACTTAATTTTTATATGTATATATAGATTACTAATACATATAAACAAATACATTTATATAAGTAATTTGTATTTATTATTTTCAACTTTAAACCCAGCCAAATTGTAGGAGATCTGAATAAAGACGTACAGTTTCCAAAAATTTAGCTCTAATTGAATTCAGGTGTGCCACTAAAACCAAGAAAGCAGAAGACCATGTGGTCCAAAAAGCATGGCATCCATCATGAGAAAGCGGCCAAGGGCAGTCCCAGATGATAAAAAGGAAGTCTCTAGATAGGAACTAGGCAGTAGACCCAGAAGACAACCTGGTCAGATCAGTGCAGAGGGCAGAGGCTACCAGGAAAAGTATGAAATCATGAGATTATCTGATGTTTTTTTATACCTGGAAAAAAATATTGATGATTTTAATATTTGGTATTAAATAATAAATAATTATTCCTTGGTTTATTATCAGGTTGGCACATCTGGTGAAGTATGTGAAAAATTATAAATAAGAGCTTAGAAAATGAAGTACATAAAAAAGATGAGGCAACCATTAATTCTAGGAAAAACAAAATGTATAAGAGGAGAAAATTAAAGTAATATATCATTAATTCTGCAGTGAACACTATTTACATGCTCATAATAAATACCGTTGGTCATTTAATACAAAACTATGGTGGACTATATGGAAGGTGGGAGTGTGGAAGTGAGAGCTAAATACTCATCTATTATATCAGGAAATCAATACATAATAATAATTTTAGAGTGGAAATAAAAGGTAATCATATTTTTTAAAAAAATGAAGGTAAATTCCAGAATATACAGCTGATGAGAGCTGGAAGTGGGAACAGCTAGGTAAGGCAATGGGCTGGTTTCTGTTGGCTTTTCAGTGCCCTCTCTGTTCCTTGCCTCTCTTCAGCAGTGTGACAACAGTGACTCGTGAACTCTGAATTATCCAAGGATACTTTCTTGAGGCCCTATCCATCAGGGACAGTAGGATGCTGGCTCCACCCCTTCTGGATACGCTGGAGACCTGTCCTTCTGTGCATTCTGTGGAGGGGGCTCTCCCTGGGGCCTGGACCTTCCCAGGGACCTGCCTCCAAGCCACCCCTCCCACCTATGAACCCTGGCTCTCTACATGATTCTAGCTCTTTCTTGAACTAATTTCTCAGGGCAATATTTAGAAATAGGCATGGTGTAGACAGAAACATAAGTAGAAACTTTTGTCTCACCAATTCATAGTTCTTCACACCCTGTGGAGGTCGTTTAGATCCCTGGTGCTTGACACACAGTAGGCACCCAATAAAGAGCTACTGAAAGCATAATTATGGTACCAACTTCCTCTGTGTCCAGCACTTCACCGGGTCCTTTACATGCATTGCCACATTCAACCTCACAAATGCTTATGCAATTACAGGGTAGGATCATCTCTATGTTACAGATATAAAAACTGAGGTTCAGAGTAACTCAACCACTGTCACTTCACTTACAGTAAGGGCTAAACTGGGATTCAAATCCAGGTGTGGCTTACTCCAGTCTGTACAACTAGCAGCAGTTTCCTTTCTGGAAACAGGTTAGGTTAGGTAGATAGAAGGATGGAAGAAAGGAAGAAATGAAAGGAGGGGAGTTCACTACTGACCCAAGAAGGGAACCTGAGACCCTCCCCACCTGGAGGCCCCAAGGCTGGAGAACTAGCCATGGACCGTCCTCCCCTCACCCCAGGGCCATGGCTGCAGCACCCACCTTCTTCAGAGAGGTTGTTCTCTTTGGTCTCCTTGTCCATCTGGCAGCACCATCCCTCCAGCCGTTCTGTTTCTGCCTGAAGTAGCTTCAAGAACCAGTAGCCATCTCGGCGGCAGGCCCCTGGCTGTGCTGGCTCTGCTGGGGAGCTGGAGGAGGTCTCAAGCCAGGGGTCGGGAGGGGGCAGCGAGGATGCCTCTAGAGCAGGGTCGCTGTTGTCTCCATAGGAGAGGTTGCGCTTGATCTGGGCAATCTTAGGGGCCTGCCGCGGGCCAGCATCAATGCTGATGGAGTTGGGGTGTGGGGTACAGTCCGGGAGACTCCTCTCAGATGACTTACAGCTTGAGTCGTTGGCATCCTGGGTGTCTGAGTCAGTGTCCCGTCGGGAGGACATGCTGTGAGAGGGGGCACTGCTTCTGAGGGTGGGGGTGAGGTGGGATGGGGACAGGAAAGGGGAGAGTCACCAAGAGGACCAGAGACCGGACGCCATCCCAACCCGGACACACGGGAGACAGAGAAACGGATGCATCATCTGCTCACCATGCGCCTGAAGCGGGTCCCACAGCCCCCCTCATTCTCTGCTCAGCCCTTGCCCCACCCACCCACGCCCACACGCATACACACACATGGACAAGGTCATAAGGTTGCCTGTTTACTGCAGTGGGGCTAGGAAGACCACCAACAACGGGGTGCTGGGCCATGTCTCAGCCCGACCGTGGCCCCCTGGGGGCTGACTAATCTCAGAGCAAGCGCTCATTTGCCCGCCCCCCCTGCCCGCCCAGCCTCCCATGCCTGGGCCACCGCCCACACCCCAAACCCAGCTCAGTTAATAGAAATCCAGCAAGGAGAAATGGGTTAGGGAGAGCAGGAGAAGGCACAGGAGAGGTGAGAGCAGATGGAAGGAGAGGAGAGGGGAGAAGCAGCCACCACCTCTGTGTGACTTACCGCCAGTCGTCCTCTACCTGAACCCCGATGGACTGGAATTTGGTAGCGGGACTGGGCTCCTCTTTTGGCACTGGCTGAATGCAGTCAACCTTATTGAAGGACAACGACAGCGACGGCACGGAGACAAAGACAAAAATAAAAAACAAACAGCACACTTGCTGCTGAAATTCACATTAGTGGGACAATGCAAACAGACATGTGGACAGACGGGCACGAGGCATGCAGACACTGCACGTGGGCCCAAGGCTGGAGCAGGTTAAGCCGGGCACTGCTCATTCGCGCAGAGGCGGGCAGAGGGTGGGATGGGGTGGAGATGACTGGCTTTCCCTACTCTGAGGAGGGTGCCATCACATCGACTGCTTTGGGTCCGTTGTCCTCCGAGAGATGGGAACCGTTCCTTCTAGTCCTCTCCTTTACACGCATCAGAGAGAAGGAAAAAAAAAGAACAACGAAAGAGAAAGAAAACACACGCACACACACACACAAAGCCACAGCCGTTATCTGGTGCAGTCGCAGCTGGGGGCTGTCTCGAGGCAAAGATCAGTCCCCTGGCCCTGAAGCTGAAGGGCAGGCTGGAGGTGCCTCTACTAGGGGCAGATCTTGGACAGTAGTCTTGATTTGAAAACTGCCACAAGGACAATGGCTAGTAACATCCCTGGACACTGTGGAATGCTGTCCTTGGGCTTCAATGGCTGAGGTTACCTTCAGCACTGGGTGGGTCTGGGGAGCAGGAGGAAGGACCAGGGCCAGGGCCAAGTGCTAAGCTAGCTCTCTTTCTCTACGTTCCTGTGAACTGGAAGGAGACCTGGCGACAGGGATGCCCTGGGCCTGCCTTTTCTTTTTTGGGACAAAGGTGTGTGTATGTGGCCATGGAGCAGGCAGGCCAGCCTTTCCATCTGTGCTCATGAATGAGGGAGAACCCACCCTTGACCTAGGGCCTGAGGCACCAAGGGCTGGGATAGGGATTGTCAGGGTATCCTTGGAAATTGGTGACTTTCCAGTCTCTTGGCTTCATGGGGACCCGTGAGACTTTCTGGGGCAGGGGGCTGAGTGCCAGGCTCCTCCTCACCATGGGGACATAGCTGGATTTCTCCTTCAGCAAGAACGGGCTCAGGGAATGCAGCACCCCTGGATCTCAAGGGGCTGTGGGAGAGCATGGAATGGGGGTGGGTGAATCTGGGAAAGAGAAGTCTAGGACAGGAGAAGAGCTAGGGTCCTTATCCCCATGTGATCTTCTTGTGAAAGGAATGACCGGTGAGCCTAAATCTCTCAGGCCTTCTGGAAAGTTAAGAACTTATGGTTTGACCAAAGAGAGGTGGGGCTGCCAAAGACCTGGGGTGGTCAGGATCAAGAGCCAGAAACTAGGCCGTTTCCTGTGTTCCTAAGAATCCCTCCTGGAGCAGTTGTACAGGGCAGGGGCTAGAGCCTTTATGAAGGAGCCCAGAAAACAGAAGAGTCTCCTGGCCAACTCTCTTCTTGTGGGGAAACTGAAGCTCTGAGTTGACCTCTGGAGGTAAAAATCCAGGCAAGTATAAGAAATTAGCCAGTGTGTCTTCTCTGGTCCAAACCATTCAGACCCCCTTTGCGTCCCAAGTTCCTCCTGCTTCTAGTGCTGTGTCATCCACCTGGCCACATCCATGGAGATCCCTCCCAACCCTAGGCCACAATGCACACCACCATGACCTCCTTGAGCACCCCACCACCACCCTCCCAGGTTTGGGAGGGCTCTGTCTTCCTCAGCTGCCCCCTCCCTGCCCTGCGTTCCACTCTAGTCTGGGGGGCCAGCCAGAGCAGAAGAGTTCTCTCACTCTGCAATTAGAGCAACTCTTGAAAACTGCAAGGCAGGGCCCCAATTTCCCCGGGTCTTCTAACAAGACAGACTGGTGATGTCAGGTGCCCGCAGGAGTTACAGTGCAGCAGGGGAGGGTAAGCTGGCATATGCTGCCAGGCTGTGTGCCACGGCCATGGGCGCAGTTTGGCTTCCAGGAGGGTCTGCTGGGTTTGGCCATCTGGTCCTGGGGAAATGTCTGTCTGGATCCTTTCCCATGGAGGGAGGCATTGGGATTGGCCTCGCACTTCTCAATTCGACAAGGGCTTGGATCCTTGAGCCACCTACCTGTTCCCAAAGCCCAAGAGGGCTCTGGGCAAAGTTCCCCTTCAAGCAACCCCCATAGCTCAGGGGCCCTGCGTCCTGGGCCCTTGGCCCATCTGCATTTATGCTCCATGCTGCTCCCGCCACCAAGTGGGACTGTGGCCTCCACACCTGAGCTGACCTTGGATTAGAGAACTGTTAGGCCAGTCCCGCCTCCCACACGTCAGCTGGCAGGTCAAAGGGCGGAGTGGACAGACAGACAGTGGACAGGCAAACAGTGGACAGGATATGGCTGGCTGAGTGTAACTACATTCATTGTGACAGCCCATCAGAGGAGCAGGGACATGTGCCCATGGCTACAGCAGCTTGGCACGTGTGGGAAATGAAAGGAAGGCATGACTATGGGTGGAATTTAGTTTGGCCACTTGGGGCCAACCCCCAAAAAGAGATAAGCTACCATTGCCCAGGAGACCTAGTGGGCCTCCACCAGATGTAATTACACGCAGACAGGTGCACAGAATGGGCAGAGGACACCGAGTGTGAAAGGGGTCCCTACTTGTATTCCTATAGATGACAGTTTCCTCTTGGGGATGGCTTCAGGGTGGGATTCGTTGCTGGTTAGTGTCCCTTGCTCACTCTTCAGAGCTGCATGTTTTGGGGGTGGCTCAGAGGCTTCAGGGGCTGGGGTGACTCCGCCCCGTGTCACGCTGGGTGGTCGGGTACTGCTGTCCAGGCTGTCCGATGAATTGCTCAGGCCTGACTGGCTCGTCACCTCACTCTTGTGGTCCTGGCTGTCCAGGTAGGTGTCCTGGGCAGACTCCGTACTGCTCTGGACTGTGACTGAGATGAACGGCTTTGACGTGGTGCGTGGAGGGACTGGTGGTGGGGTCTTCTTATATGCCACGAGGCATGATGAACCTGTAGATAGGTGAAAAGAGGTCAGGGAAGGTGAGGTCTCAACTCTCTGGAACCCCTTTCAAGTCTGAGGCCCTACCTGACCTGGCCCTAGCTGTCCCCAGCCGTTCCTGCAGATAGGTTTCCTGGAGCAGAAGAATGGGGGTCAGACACAGCAATAACCAAAGACAGACCCTGCCACCCTTGAAAGGCCAAGGCCAAGTCTAGTGGGGGATGCCAACAGGGACCAAGACACCCTCTGCCTCACAGTCACACACAAATGTATTACTCAGCAGGGGCACAGGTGGTGACAGAGCCTGACCTGTGCCAGTGCGAACAGTGACAGGTGAGTGGAGGTCAGAACAGCTAAGAACCTTGCTTTCCTCAAGCTCACTGAGAGACCCACTGCTCCCCATTTGTCTTTTCCTTATATTCCACCTTCCCTCTGACCTGTTCCCTTTGCGTGGATGCCCCTTCCCTGTCTAGTCAAAGGCCAACACATCCTTCAGGGCCCAGCTAACCCTCCCTTCATCTTGCCATTCCCACCCTCATGTTAAAACCCTGTACACCAATCTACCTCCCCAAGACTCACACTTGGTCCAATTTCTCATTCTCCACCAAGATTCAAAGAACCAGGACCTGCCATGGGTGGGAGCTGGGGTCATCTCTGAATCCCAGCCCAGCCTGGTGCTGGCACCTATCTGAGGTACAGAACACTGAAGGCCCACAGCTAGCTTCTTTCTATTTTTTTAAAAAATATTTTATTAAGGTATGATTGATATACACGCTTATGAAGGTTTCACATGAAAAAACAATGTGGTTACTGCATTTACCCATATTAACAAGTCCCCACCCATACCCCAATTCAGTCACTGTCCATCAGTGCAGCAAGATGTCACAGATCTACTATGTGCCTTCTCTGTGCTACACTGTTCTCCCCATGATACCCCACACCATGTGTACTAAACATAATACCCCTTAATCCCCTTCTTTCTTCCTCCCCACCCACCCTTCCACACCCCTCCCCTTTGGTAACCACTAGTTCATTCTTGGAGTCTCTGAGTCTGCTACTATTTTGTTCCTTCAGTTTTGCCTCATTGTTATACTCCACAAATGAGGGAAATCATTTGGCATTTGTCTTTCTCCATCTGGCTTATTTCACTGAGCATAATGTCCTCCAGCTAAATCCATGTTGTTGCAAATGATAGGATTTGTTTCTTTCTTATGGCCAAATAGTATTCCGTTATGTATATGTACCACCTTTTCTTTATCCATTCATCAACTTAGGTTGCTTCTATATCTTGGTTATTGTAAAAAGTGCTGCGATAGACATATGGGTGCATATGTCTTTTTGAATCTGAGAAGTTGTATTCTTTGGGTAAATTCCAAGGAGTGGGATTCCTCGGTCAAATGATATTTCTATTTTTAGTGTTTTGAGGAACCTCCATACTGCTTTCCACAGTGGTTGAACTAACTTACATTCCCACCAGCAGTGTGGGACGGTTCCCCTTTCTCCACACCCTCACCAGCATTTGTTGTTCTTAGTCTTTTTGATGCTGGCCATCCTTACTGGTGTGAGGTGATATCTCATTGTGGTTTTAATTTGCATTTCCCTGATGATTAGTGATGTGGAGCATCTTTTGATGTGTCTGTTGGCCATCTAAATTTCTTCTTTGGAGAACTGTCTCTTCATATCCTAGCCCATTTGTTAATCGGGTTATTTGCTTTTTGGGTGTTGAGGCGTGTTAAGTTCTTTATATATTTTGGATGTTAACCCCTTGTCAGAAATGTCATTTACAAATATATTCTCCCATACTGTAGGATGCCTTTTTGTTCTGTTGATGGTGTCCTTTGCCATACAGAAACTTTTTAGTTTGATGTAGTCCCATGAGTTCATTTTTGCTTTTGTTTCCCTTTCTCAAGGAGATGCGTTCAGGAAGAAGTTGCTCATGCTTATATTCAGATGTTTGCCTATGTTGTCTTCTAAGAGTTTTATAATTTCATGACTTACATTCAAGCCTTTAATCCATTTCGAGTTTACTTTTGTGTATGGGGTTAAACAATAATCCAGTTTCATCCTCTTACATGTATCTGTCCAGTTTTGCCAACACCAGCTGTTGAAGAGGCTGTCATTTCCCCATTGTATATCCATGGCTCCTTTATTGTATATTAATTGACCATATATGGTTGGGTTTATATCAGGGTGCTCTAGTCTGTTCCATTGGTCTATGGGTCTGTTCTTGTGCCAGTACCAAATTGTCTTGATTACTATGGCTTCGTAGTAGAGCTTGAAGTTGGGGAGCATGATCCCCCCAGCTTTATTCTTCCTTCTCAGAATTGCTTTGGCTATTCGAGGTCTTTTGTGGTTCCATATGAATTTTAGAACGATTTTCTCTAGTTCGTTGAAGAATGCTGTTGGTATTTTGATAGGAATTGCATTGAATCTATAGATTGCTTTAGGCAGGATGGCCATTTTGACAATATTAATTCTTCCTGTCTATGAGCATGGAATGAGATTCCATTTATTGGCATCCTCTTTAATTTCTCTGAAGAGTGTTTTATAGTTTTCAGGGTATAGGTCTTTCACTTCCTTGGTTAGGTTTATTCCTAAGTATTTTATTCTTTTTGATGCAATTGTGAATGGAACTGTTTCCCTGATTTCTCACTCTGCTAGTTCATTGTTATAGTGTATAGGAATACCACAGATTTCTGTGTATTAGTTTTGTATCCTGCAACTTTATTGAATTCAGATATTATTAGATCTAGTAGTTTCAGAGTGGATTCTTTAGGGTTTTTTATGTACAATATCATGCCATCTGCAAACGGACAGTTTAACTTCTTTCTTGCCAATCTGGATGCCTTTTATTTCTTTGCGTTGTCTGATTGCCGTGGGTAGGACCTCCAGTACTATGTTGAATAGAAGTGGGGAAAGTGCATCCTTGTCTTGTTCCCGATAATAAAGGAAAAGCTTTCAGCTTCTCGCTGTTAAGTATGATGTTGGCTGTGGGTTTGTCATATATGGCATTTATTATGTTGAGGTACTTGCCTTCTATACCCATTTTGTTGAGAGTTTTTATCATGAATGGATGTTGAATTTTGTCAAATGCTTTTTCAGCATCTATGGAGATGATCATGTGGTTTTTGTCCTTCTTTTTTTGATGTGGTGGATGATGATGATGCATTTTCGAATGTTGTACCATCCTTGCATCCCTGGAATAAATCCTACTTGATCATGATGGATGATCTTTTTGATATATTTTTGAATTCGGTTTGCTAATATTTTGTTGAGTATTTCTGTATCTATGTTCATCAGGGATATTGGTCTGTATTCTTCTTTTTTTCTGGTGTGTTTGCCTGGTTTTGGTATTAGAGTGATGGTGGCCTCATAGAATGAGTTTCGAAGTATCCCCTCTTCTTCTACTCTTTGGAAAACTTTAAGGAAGATGGGTATTAGGTCTTCACTAAATGTTTGATAAAATTCAGTGGTGAAGCCGTCTGGTCCAGGGATTTTGTTCTTAGGTAGGTTTTTGATTACCAGTTCGATTTCATTGCTGGTAATTGGTCTGTTCAGATTTTGTGTTTCTTCCTTGGTCAGCCTTGGAAGGTTGTACTTCTATGTTATCCAGTTTGTTAGCATATAATTTTTCATAGTATTCTCTAATAATTCTTTGTATTTCTGTGGTGTCCGTAGTGATTTTTCCTTTCTCACTTCTGATTCTGTTTATCTCTGTAGACTCTCTTTTTTTCCTTGTTAAGTTTGGCTAGGGGTTTATCTATTTTGTTCATTTTCTCAAAGAACCAGCTCTTGCTTTCATTGATTCTTTCTATTGTTTTAGTCTTCTCGATTTTTTTGTTTATTTATGCTCTAATCTTTATTATGTCCCTCCTTCTACTGACTGCCTCATTTGTTCTTCTTTTTCCAGTTTCATTAATTGTGAGTTTAGACTGCTCATATGGGATTGTTCTTCTTTCCTGAGGTAGGCCTGTATTGCAATATACTTTTCTCTTAGCATGGCCTTGGCTGCGTCCCACAGATTTTGTGGTGTTGAATTATTGTTGTAATTTGTCTCCATATATTGCTTGATCTCTGTTTTTATTTGGTCATTGATCCATTGGTTATTTAGGAGCATGTTGTGAAGCCTCCATGTGTTTGTGGGATTTTTCATTTTCTTTGTGTAATTTATTTCTAGTTTCATACCTTTGTGGTGTGAGAAACTGTTTGGTACAATTTCAATCTTTTTGAATTTACTGAGGCTCTTTTTGTGGTCTAGTATAGGATCTATTCTTGAAAATGTTCCATGTCCACTTGAGAAGAATGTATATTCTGTTGCTTTTGGGTTTATAGTTCTGTAGATGTCTGTTAGGTCCATCTGTTTTAATGTGCTGTTCAGTGCCTCTGTGTCCTTACTTATTTTCTGTCTGGTTGATCTGTCCTTCAGAGTGAGTGGAGTGTTGAAGTCTCCTAAAATGAATGCATTGCATTCTATTTCCCTTTTAATTCAGTTAGTATTTGTTTCACATATGTACGTGCTCCTGTGTTGGGAGCATAGATATTTATAATGGGTATATCTCCTTGTTGGATTGACCCCTTTATCATTATGTAATGTCCTTCTTTGTCTCTTGTGACTTTCTTTGTTTTGAAGTCTATTTTGTCTGATACAAGTACTGCAACTCCTGCTTTTTTCTATTAGTTGCATGAAATATTTTTTTCCATCCCTTCACTTTTAGTCTGTGTATGTCTTTGGGTTTAAAGTGAGTTCTTGTAGGCAGCATAAAGATTGGGTCTTGTTTTTTTATCCATTCAGTGACTCCATGTCTTTTGATTGGTGCAGTCAGTCCATTTAAATTTAGGATGATTATCGATAGGTATGTACTTATTGCCACTGCAGACTTTAGATTCATGGTTACCAAAGGTTCAAGGTTAATTTCCTTACTATCTAAGAGTCTAACTTAATACACTTAATATGCTATTACAAACACAATCTAAGGGTTCTTTTCTTTTTCTCCTCCTTTTTCTTCCTCCT